ATCCTTAGGGATACTGCAGTGGATGCCTTTTCTCTTTCAAGTACAATGACCCACTGAAAAAACAGGCTAGCACAGGTAAAATTAGAAAATGCTTTCTGCTTCTCCAATCAAATAAAAATGACACCGAACATCATAAAAATATACATTAAGCTGGGCACAATGGTTCATGTCTCTAATCCCAGTACTTTTGGAAGTACTGGGCGGATCTCTTGAGGTCAGGAGTTCGAGACCAGCCTGGCCAACATGGTGAAACCCTGTTTCTACTAAAAACAAAACAAAACAAAATTAGCCAGGTATAGTGGCAGGTGCCTGTAATCCCAGCTACTTGGGAGGCTGAGGCAGGAGAATCACTTGAACCTGGGAGGCAGAAGCTGCAGTGGGTGAGATCGCGCCACTGCACTCCAGCTTGGTGGACAGGGTGAGACTCTGACTCTAAAAAAAAAAAAAAAAGAAACAACAACAACAACAAAAAACAACCAAATAACAACAACAAAAAACCCCAAAAAACAAACAAACAAAAAAGTACATTAATCCTATCTTACATGGTTGGTTAAAGGGAGATGGAATTAAAGTAAGATAGGAATGTACAAAGAGGTAGAAAACAGAAAGGAAAAGAAGCAGAAAGATAAGAACATCTGTAGATAAAGAATGTTTTCTTGAAGTAGCATCTTTGTATCAAATGATTTTCAAATACTAACACCACAGGATTTTAAGGTACCTATATGTTCAAAAGCAGACACACAAATAGATGCATCATCTCTCTTTGTTTTTTAATACTTTAAGTTCTAGGGTACATGTGCACAACATGCAGGTTTGTTACATATGTATACATGTGCCATGTTGGTGTGCTGCACCCATTAACTCATCATTTACATTAGGTATATCTCCTAATGCTATCCCTCCCCCCTCCCAGATGCATCATCTCTTGATACTTGCCCCAAATTAAGGCAATAAAAAATGTCAGAGGGATGATGTTGAGAGCCAGTGAAAAACTCAGTATGTGACCCTAAATGTGGAAAAGTGTTTTCATTTAAACTTTACTGCATTCTATCATCTGGCTGAGTCATCTATCTCTTTCCTAAGATATCAACCTATTGTACACTAACTTCAAAACATTCCAGAGCATTAACTTTTAGCTTTCGTTTTGTCACACCCTCCTATTTCAATCTTTCAAAACCACATCAAACAGATGGTGAGAGGCATCATGAACAGAAAAAGGAAGGCATTACTTAAGAAGAAAAGATTGTAGAAGAGTACTAATGAAACTCAGTTGTGCTCAAACCTACTCTCCAAATATCTAACATACTGGATTTGCCAAACAATCCTGAAGTTTTGTTTACGTAAATAAAGTCTATTGGCCATTGAGTGATAAGCTATTAAGCTCTTCCTCAATTAATGTCTAAGCTGAGAAGAATAAAAGGTATGATTCAGAAAAATAAGTCAGAATATGAATTATACCTACTTTTTCAGCATTATGCAACAAAAACAAATTTGCCTATATACTACAGCCAAACAATTATATTTATTTGCTGAAGATTAAACACATTTTGATGGAAAGTATCTACATCCACAACTGCACGGTTCACATTGATAGCCTAATTTACTCCAGGAGAATGAAGTTAATCATAAAAATAAGTAAGATTTTCAACATCTACTTATTTGTTATACTTTGAAAGTGATCCTTCAGAAAATGTTAAAAAAAAAAAAACAAAAACAAAAAGATTTTGCCACTAGGGGAAAGAATCGATAGGGGATAGAAAACATAGATACCCTGCTAAATCTGGAGAGGTCAATGACACCAATTAAGCCATGAGTATTCATTTGTTAATTCTTTCCTTAAATGATGAAGAGTGGAAGGAGTGGGGGAGTTTTCATGGATTATATAGTCTGTACTATTTTAATAACTGCTCTTACAGAGGACACGTATATTCTTAATGTGCCAAAACACTAGATCTGGTTTAAAAAGCAGCATGGCATACAGTATACAATATAAATCAGAGCAACCAATGAAGTCTAGAGAATCCACAGATTTTTTAAGAGAAGATGGTATTCTTGGACAGGTAGTTTAAGAGACTAAACCTCCACCTCTACATTTTTGAAGCTTTAATGCATCATATTAGTAGTGAATAGTTAGCAGTGTTTGAGGGTTGAACCACATAACTCTTACTTGTCACTATCTGGCCTCAAGCAAAGTCACTGATAATAAATCTCAGTCTCCTCATCTGTAAATAGAAGGGGACGAATCGGCTCATTGCCAAGGCTTTTTCGAGCTCAGAGTATATTTCTACACAACCCTTTTAACTTACACTCAATCAGAGTTTACATTTGGAGCATAGCCTAAACCTTTACCGATTCTTAGCAGTAAAGAGAAATAAAGCATGTAACTGAAAAATGAAAACAGTGATGTTAAAGATATCATACATTACTGGAGTCAAAGACACAATGAACAATAAACACAGATAGCACAGGTGTTAGCCCAGAAAATTGAGTCAGAAAATCAGTCAACTATGTGAATGACTTTGACAAATCCTCCTGATCACAAATCCAACAGTACAGAAGTACAAAGATTCAAGTTCTAGGGTGGCTGCAGTGGCTCACACCTGTAATCCTAACACTTTGAGAGGCAGATGCGTGGATCACTTGAAGTCAGAAGTTTCAGAACAGCCTGGCCAACATGGTGAAACTGTCTCTACTAAAAATACAAAATTAGCTGGCGTGATGGCACGCTCCTGTAGTCGCAGATACTTGGGAGGCAGAGGCAAGAGAATCACTTGAACCCAGGAAGCAGAGATTACAGTGAGCCCAGATCATGCCATTGCACTCCAGCCTGGGCAACAGACTGAAACTCCGCCTCAAAAAAAACCAAAAACCAAACCAAAACAAAAAAACCCCACGACCCTCCAACCCCTCGACAAAGATTCAGGTTCTAGTACTCTGCCACTGTGCAGAATTCAAGGGTCTGGAGTCATAGACCACAGAGGTCAAATACAGTTCCAACCCTTAGTAGCCTTGTAATCTTATGACTTAATTTCTCTGAGCCTCAGTTTCTGCCTCTGAAAAATGGGAGCACATTATCTCATGGGAACATTGTGAGAATTAAAAAGCATATTTAGCACCTATGACAGGATCTACTGCATTGTAAGTATTAAATAAATGGGATTTTTGCCTACTTTTCTCTCCATAAGATGGAAATAATACTTTCCCTAGGTTCCTGTTAGTAATTAAGAAAATCCCAAAGCTGGAATTATGTAACATTAAGATTAGAAGGAACCAAGGGCTGTCAATTTTACCTCTAAATCTTTTCTCCATATCTTCCATTTCTTATCATTTACCCTAGTATCACCCTGGTAAAAGCTACCATCATCTCTCGTCCTACTACAATGACCTCCTTCAAACCAGCCCTCAAAATCTCTATCTCTTCACCCTCTCCTCACTCCATTCCTGCACAGCAACAAGACACATGCTTCAAACTCTCTCACGTGCACTCAGAATAAAATCCAAACTTTATGGTAGCCTTCAAGACCTGACATGGGCTGACTTGCCCGAATTTATATTTGCCACTTTCCCTCTTGCTCACTTCCCAGTACAATGTCCTTCTTTCAGAATTTTAGTAGTTACCCTCCTTGCCTCTGGGCTTTCCCATGTGCCTCTGTCATTTGTCTCAAGGCATTCTGTAGGTCTTCATAGAACTCATAACCACTGTAATTAAATAATGAGGTTCACAGTTAGTTGTTTAACGTCTGTCTCCTGGATCATGTTCACCATTGTATCCCCAATACTTGGGACAGTGCCTGACACAGGGCAGGTATTCAGTAAATATCTATTGAAGAGTAAACAAAGAGACATCTTAACCAAATGCTTCATTTTGTAGATTAGAAAGCTACAGTTAGGATATGCTACAGTTAGGATACAAGTGACTTGCCTAAGGCTGAGGCACCAAGAGTTCTTTTTTCCCAGGCCAATATTCTTTTGCTACACTTAACTCTGAGGTCCCTTCTACCTTTAACATTCTATTATCTCTGAAAATACAATAAAGTGTGAAAATATCTTACAGATGGAAGATACCTCTTTTTCATCTTGTACAATACATTTCGCTCTATTTTCCACTCCGCCACCGGGCACTTTTATTATCCTGTTTCTCTGCTTCCTCCTAAAGTTAAATTTAACATATTTACTACATAATCTAGTAGGAGAAGCAGATAATTCCTGTAAACAAGGAATTATATCCAATAAGGTAAATGCAACGGCAGGATGAATGAAGCACAGAGAAAGTACAGTATAGGCTGTACTTTTTTGTGCAGGGAGTAGTAAAGAAAAAAATTGTTGTGCAGGGAGTAGTAAAAAAGGAATTACAGAGATGATAACTTGAGATAGCTTTTGAAGGATGATAGGCGTTTGCCAGGTGAAGGAAACATTCCAAGCAAGGGAAACAGCACGTGTACAGAGGCACCGCATCCATTCAACACATACTGAGTGCCTACCAGCAACTCCAAGCTGCTTTCTCTACGGGGAAAATGGATAGGTCACTGAACTCCACAAATGGTAGTTGGTACTGCCACAGAGAAGACGAAGCTGCAAATGTAGTGGAAAGCAAGGGTCAGGTCAGAGCACCTTGTATGCCATGCTCAAAGGCATGTACTTTGATCTATAGAGATGGAAAACCACGGAAGACTTTTGAGCAAAGAAGTGACAAACTCTGATTTACATCTGTTTTGAGTTTCCACTCAGTTCGGATTACGCCCCAGATTCAATAAGGAAGACAGAAAAAATGCCTCGAGAACCCGCATAGGCCAAACACAACATACCAAACGGTCACACAAACGATCATACTAGATATTTACAACAACTTGCTGAGATGGTTGGGCAGAACTCACTACCGCACAGTTAAAGACAAAGCTTGGAAATAGTTACGCGACAAATGTGAGGCGTCCAGGCCCGGCGCCCCAGGGTTCCCGGACACCGCCCGAGGCCTCGCCACCCTCCGGCACACACCCGCTCACCTCTGCAAGTTCTCGATCTCAGCCGGGATGCTCTGCAGCTGGTTGCCGCCCAGGCTCAGGGTCTGCAGCGCACGCAGCTCTAAGAGCGAGGCAGGCACCTCCTGGAAACAGTTGCCGCTGAGGTTGAGTACCTGGAGGCTGCGGCAGAGCGGCGACTGGGCCAGGCCCTTGGGCAGCGCACTGGGCCCGCCGAGCCGGTTGTTCTTGGCCAGCAGCGTGCGCAGGCCGCACAGCGCGAGCAGCTCTGGGCCGATGGCGGTCAACGCGTTGCCGCTCACGTCCAGCAGCTGGAGGTGCGGAAAGCCGCTGCCCAGCGCCCGCGGCAGCGACACTAGACGATTGTGAGGCAGCAGCAGCCGCAGCAGTGCCTCACGCGCGCCGCGCCGCTCCTCGCCCCGCGCCTCCAGCTCAGACTCCAGCGTCTCAGTGGACACGCTGAGGCGGGACCAGTTCAGTTCGGCCTCCCCGGCCGTGACCACCGCCGCTCCGGCCTCCTCCATCCTAGCCACCGCACGGCGCTTGGCGCTGGATTCCCCAGAGCGCCGCGCGGCGTCCACAGGCCGGGAGCTCCGCGGCGCCCCGGAACCTGAACCAAGAGCTGAGTCGGAAGTGGCGCGGGCGGGCGCTAACCCTGCGCGCCTCGGCCGAGTCACGGGACGCGAGGCCGTGGGGTGCGCGCGCCGCTCCGGGGCGGGCTCTGCCTCACGAGGCGGCGGGCGCGGAGTGGCAAGAGCGTAGCGTGGGCTGCGCCGAGCTGAGGCCGAGACCCAGAGGCTGCCAAATTGTCATCAGAGCCGGGCCGGGTTTCGGCGGCCGCGCTTTATAGTCGCTGGAGTCTGGTGACCTATTCCAGGGCTCCAAGACTGCCTCGGCAACAGCCCAAGGATGTTCGGTTATCTGGCCTTGAGGGTTCGCGCGTCACGTGCCCCTTCCCCGCCCCCCGCTTGTTTTTCAGTTTAAAAGTGGGGCCGGTGTCTGCAGGACTCTGTGAGCACACAGGAATTTAGTGATGATTTATCTCCATGACAGAAAACCCCAGGAATTTAAAGTCCGAGGATTAACAAAACCGACTTCGAAGTGTGAAAGCAGCTGGACTAGACATCAGAACCCCCGATCCTTACTGGGGGTTCCGCTGTTAAATAGCCTAGGGCAGGGATTTGATTTCAGCTGCCCCATGCATAAAATATGGGTAATACCCGCACTACTTGCCCCACAGAATTATTTTTTTCTTTTTTAAAACATAAATGTATATCAAGTAAGGACGTTTTGCCTGTTTTAATTATAGAAGCACATACGTGGTTTTTGGTCTAAGTTGTGTCTAGGAGTGAATTTGGAAGTCTTGGAGGGAGTTCCATGACTTGAGATAGCTCAAATTAATGAGTTAGTTTAAAAACTCAGAAAGCATTGAGTTTGTACTGAAGGTCAAAATTACAGTTTGGGAAAATCCTGATCTGGTACTAATTTAGTAATTCTGATTAACATATTTTTCATCCTTGTCCCAAACTCAATCTTTTCTGAAATTACTTTTTATGATTTTTGAAAAGTCATGAATAGAAATGAGAAAAAATGCTTAGCTTTTTTTTTTTTAAACAAAGCTTATACATAAGAAAGTTAAGTGGTTGTGTATAATCAACGACATTAAATTGCTTTCCTCCTTTGAAAAAGAGGAAAGTCATTTTTTTCTCGCCAGTCATTTATCTGTATGAGAAACTATGCCTTTACTCTGCAGTCAAACTTTAATTTCTGATTGAGTTGTAGTTATAGAAGGACGTACTTTGTATGTTTAACCTGATGGTGGAATGTTTTGTAAAACTGATGAGTCATATGTTTTGGAAGAGGCCTTTTAAGAACAGACTTTATTTTGGGTCAAGCCAGCATTCTAACAGTAGTCTTAATGTCTGAAAATTACAAATATTTAAAATAATAGGGTTTTTTTTGCTTTAAAATATTTATCTGGGATTTTAAAAAGTGATAGGAATGTAATGTAAAATGGGAAAAAGAAAGGATTCAAACATAATTCAGAAATAAGAGTTGGCCAGGTGCCATGGCTCGTGCCTGTAATCCCCGCGCTTTGGCCCAGATCAGCAGATCGCTGAGGTCGGAGTTCCAGACCAGCCTGGCCAACATGAGGAAACCCCGTCTCTACAAAAAATACAAAAATTAGCCGGGCCTAGTGGCACTCACCTGTGTTCCCAACTACTCCACAGGCTACTGGGAGGATTGTTGCAGCCTAAGCGGTAGACGTTGCAGAGAGCCATGATTGTGCCACTGCCCTGCACTTTTTTTTTTTTTTTTGGTCTCAAGAAAAATAAAATAAGAGGTAAGATTACAAATCAGTGGAATTAAAGGGAGAATATAACCTCAATAATAGCAAATGAGGCTTCCTAGTAGAAAGTTTGGAAAAAAATACTTAGGATGGGAACTCCACGTTGTATAGAATAAAGGAAAGGAAGTAGAAAAACAGTGGTGTAGGTAAAGAAATGAGTCACCTGACAAATTTTGAAAACCTGCTTGCAATGCTGTCCTGGGAGCTATTTTTATTTAATAAAGTCTCCAAATACTTCGTTGTTGAATTTAGGATAAATGTAACTAGACCATCGAGCAGCTGAGATAACTGAGAAACTGCTTTCTAAAAGTTGAAAATTGTGTTTCTGCCTCTTTGAAGCTATTGGCAAGGAAACTGTAAATTTCAGTGTAAAATGCATATCTCATGTCCAATTAGAGTAGGTTCTTACTTACATAGAATGACCATCTTTATTCATCTTTGGATTCTCCCTCACACCACCGCCATCACCCATTGCCTAGCATGATTTCTTGCAAATAATTTGGATTGATTGAGTTGGATATATCTCTTAGTTAGTGGACTTATTTTTTGAATAATTAGATTAAATTGTAAAGTCCTTGAAAAAAACTATTTTATTATTATATACTCATCCCCTAACAGTGCCTGGTCCATAGGAGGTACAAGTACTCTATATCTTTTGAAACACTGAATATATTTGTAAATATTAAGTTTTAGTTGAAAAGGAACTTTTATTTATCAAACACCTACTTTTATCACAAACCTTAAAAAATGTAATTCTACTTATGGCCACATTTATAAAAAATAATGTTTATCCTCATTTTAGAAATGAGGGAACTCAAGCTCAAAAATGATGAGTAAAGTTTGCTATCACAGAGAGTGAAAGACTAATTAGAAATTCAGCCTTAGGGCTGTGTGGCTCCAAAGTCCACATTCTTTCCATTACACTACACTGCTCTCTTGGGCTTAGTTTAGTTTTTTTTTTTTTTTTTTTTAATGATTCAAAGCAATAAGATCTTGCAAATAGTGTCAGTATTACAAGTGGCATTATCCATTGATGGTTCTTTGAAATATTGTGATTGTTGGAATTATACAGCGTTTGTCTTAAGGATTGGGGGTTTAGTGGGCTTCATACACAAAACTGGAGCAGAAGCACCTGAACCAAACATAATTTGGGTTGCCATCCTTGTATCATATGACCTCGCTTCAGAACCTATGTTGATTAGAGCCAAAGTGGACATCTGACGAAGGTAAGCCCATCAACAGACTACCTGGTGGCCTATCACTTATAAGGCACTGCCCAAACAGAAGCAGTTAAGATTTTTTTTTCTCACTATCCCAGGAATTTAATCCAAAGAACCCAGAGGGAAATTGCAGTTGGTGGCAGATGAGAAAGAAATCACAGTTGAATCAGAAAGAAGCAGACATGGGGAGTGTCGCTAATTTTTTGTCAATTGTGGAACATAAGTGCAAAGATTCATAAAATACTGCTACTGAAATCTGGGACTGCCTTATATCCAGAGTAACGCACCAGGGGCAGCTTCACTGAGGCCAACTTGTTAACAGCTGGATTAAATGTGAGCATCTCATTACTGTCCAGTATAATAACCCTTCTCTATCTTAGATAATATGGATGTATCTCTTTTCACTGCAGCCAGATGGGTTTAAATGAAGCAGCATCCCCCAATCCTACAGTGGCCCTTGAAACCATCCAGTCAGCCTGGAGAATACTGAAAACTTTCTGGGAGGTAAAAGAGCTATGGTGGCTTGTGAGCCCCCCACAGTGATGGGGTTCATCTGTGGCTAGCTGAAAGAGATGCCCGAGAGGGGAGTGGGGGCACTGGAGAAGGTAAAGGACAGAGGAGACAACAGAATATGTTACATAGGGAAAGGAACATGGGTTACAGGGAACTGGGAAAGTACATGGCCTGTTTGTCCACTTACCAGAACTTCACCATTGTGTCATGGTTGGTCAAATTGAATACATTTCAGGATGAGTCTCTTGACTGGAATAGTATTGGACATTTAGGAGACCAAATGACTTGTCCTCCTCCTTCAGCTTCCTTGTCTAGGCTTCCTGAAGGCAGGAACTGCATCTGTTTACCATGGTATCCCCCAAGACATCGTAGGTAGTAAATAGTGAGTGAATAAAATAAATGCATGAATAGTTTTTGACATACCTGACTTAAATAGGCCCTGTTGACCTACTGACTGCAGAAAAAAACAAATAGTCTAAGTAGAGAATCCTTTCATAAGCCATTCCAGTTAGGAGGCAGCATACTGATGCAGTTAAAAGAGTGGGCTTTGGTTTTTATCAGATATAGGTTTCAAAACCCACCTCTAGAAATCAGATTTCTCTTACTTAATCTTGATTTTGTTACTTAATTTCTGTAAGGCTTGATTTTATCATCTGTGTTATAAAGTATATGGTCTGTTTCATAGGGTCATTGTAAGGTGTAAATCTAAAGTGCTTAGCATAGTACCTAGCACAAAGTCAATACTCTGTAAGTAGTGGCAATTATTATTATCAGCTGTAATAGTTGTTATTGTTATAACTATTGCTCTCTGCCACTTGTTATATCATGATCAGGGTAGAAAAACAAAATTGAGAACAGTCTTTACTCATGATTTCACAATTTTCTACATAAACCATGGTCCTCTGCTCTGGGCCATTCCATGTCTTAGAGATTAGGATTTGGGAGGTTGGTCTGAACTCTATTGCCCGAGATTTATGCTTATTGTCTTTTTTGTCTTCAAGGTATATCAGGACTTCATGCCTCCTAGACCCACTCTTACCTTTATTTTAGCCACCTGTGATTCAGACTATCCTTTCTAAAGCACTGCTCTCATGATTTCAATCCATCTCTTCTCCTCCTGCCTTTACCCCATGTTTCCTCATTGCTTATCAGATGAAGGCCAGTTGCTTAGGCTAGCATGCAAGGTTTTGATTTATTTCCACTGCTAAATCCCTCTCAGTCTGGTTTATCCATATTGGCCTAGGATGGTTTAAAGTTCTGCCATCTTCCTGCCAGTTGTCCAAATCTCAAAAAACCAGTTACTGTATGTTTAGGGCAGCGTTAAAAGTAGAGGGAGCTATAGTCTTTCAGTCGATCCTGAGGAGGAGTTGGTTTCTATATTTACAGGGGCCAAGAGTAAGTCTTCAGCCAGTTTTGTGGTATAAGGTCAGCAGTTTGATTTTCAGCAGTTCTTCCTCTGCCACAGTTTGCTCTTGCTGTAGAATTGATAGATTAAAATGCCTCCTTAAATATGTCTCCAGGCTTCTTTGTTGAAGTTTAGGCCCTTTTATTTTGAAGAT